TATTGAATAGGGGGTTTTATGTCGTCTTTGTTCTTTAGTGATTTTAATAGTTGACGCTAGATGGCGTTAGTTCCTTTGTGTGTTCATAACACTACTCCCCTCTTAGAGATGCTCGTCCCGAGCATCATTGTTACTGCCATGGTAACGCGCCAGACGGTCTATGTGTACCACTTTGAATGTCCCTCTTGGTTGCTTTTGAATCCTATAAGTCACATCATTCAGTCGGGTAACCACTTTGTATGGACCGTCCCACTTGATCTGCAACTTTGGGGATTTCCCTTTCCGACGAGTTGGGTTATGCAGCCACACCAGTGACCCTTCTTCGAAGCCGTCCGTATTCGATTTCCGGTCGTATCTGGTTTTCATGTTCTCACTTGACTGTAACCCATTTTCCCGAACCAAGGCGTGTATATAGCGCATTTTTTCCCTTAAATTGCAGACATAGTCTTGTACGGTCTGTGGTCCCTCCGGTGACCCTCCTGTCAATAGGTCTACTGGTAATCGTAGTTCTCTACCGTAATTGACATACGCCGGGGTAGCTTTTATGCTCTCATGCTCGGCGGTTCGGTACGACAGAAGGAAGAGTGGTATATACTTGTCCCAATCCTTTTGTTTGTCGTCTACCAATTTCGCCAGATGCCTCTCAAGGGTCTGGTTAAATCTCTCAACCATTCCATCAGACTGTGGGTGGCACGCGGTGGTCCTCGTCTTATGCATGCCCAAAATTCTACACACTTCCTGGAATACTTGTGATTCGAAGTTCCTGCCCTGATCGGAATGGATTTCTAGAGGCACACCAAAACGACATATCACTTCTTCGACTAACTTAGAAGCGACTGTTGTAGCTTCTTGGTTTGGTATGGCGAACACTTCGGGCCATTTGGTGAAGTAGTCCATGACGACCATAAAATACTTGTTTCCCGATTCCGTTACAGGAAATGGCCCAGCTACGTCAACTGCAATTCGTTCCCACGGTGCACCGACGTTATACAACCGCAGGTTCCCACGGCTTCTGGTCTGTGGTCCTTTTACAGCAGCGCAAGTAGTACATTTGCGGCACCAATCCTGTACATCATCTCGACAATGCAACCAGTAGAATCGTTCTCGCACTTTTGTTAACGTTCTCTTGACACCTAGATGACCTCCTGATACGCCATCATGTATTTCACGGAGAACATCTGGTACGAGAGTACCAGATAATTGTCCCGAGAACGAGAGTTCTCGGGACAATTATCTGAAGATGGAACTCTCTGCCGTTAGTCTTCTCCCATTTCCGGTAGAGTATTCCGTTTTGAAGTATCAGACTGTCCCATTGCGCCCAGTACGCCTTAGTGACAGCGCCAGTGGGTGCAACCTCACTCCAGTTTGGTTTTACATCGCCCCGCTTCTTCCATGTGATGATGTGCCGAAGGTCGTCGTCACTTTCTTGAGCCTCTCTCATAGCATCATTCTCCCAGTAACCCAAAGGACTTGTCCTCGTTAGCTTTAATGTAACTTCATTAGATTCCTGCTTAACACAATGTTTGCAGTCTTCCGAACACGCCCTTCGTGAGAGTGCGTCGGCATTTCCATGCGTCTTTCCGCTGCGGTGTTTTGTCTTGAAGTCATTGAGTACCTCAGTCATTGATCCGTAGTTGTGGCCGTTTACTGGAGCTTCCTCCGCGTCAGCCAGTACTCGCTCCTTAGTCCCGGCTTTTATTCGTTTCCCTGAAGCCCCCCGTAGCCCTTGCTTCTTCAGCTCCTTTATTTGTTCCTCAATCCTTTTCATCCTTTCCATCTGGGTCTCCTTCTGCGGGCAGTTGAGCTGAAGATGGCCCCTCTCGCCGCACTTGTAGCACATGGGTCCAGAACTTCTCTTCGTAGGGGCCTTAACCTCCTTCACTTCCTCAAAGACCTCGTGGATCTTATGGGTCTGCCGTATGTCATGGCGAACAGCCTCGACCTCCAAAGCGTGCGCCAATGCCTCCTTTAACGAGGTATGGTGACGAAGCCTCACTGCAGCTCTGACCTCGAGGTCCTTGATTCCGTCCACAAATGCTTGAACAATATTCGTGTCTACTATCTTGGTATCGGCTCCTGGGTGTGCCTTCCTGACGAGTTTTTCAATTTCCAACGCCCATTGTTTTAGTCCTTCTCCTGAGCGTTGGACTCGGTCACGCAGTTGGCACGGAACACGTGCTCCAGGTGTCGCTCCCCGTATCTGGATTCAAGTGCCTCCATCAGGTCTTGGAACCCATTTCCTGTATGTGGCAGTGCTTCCAGGACCGACAAAGCTTGCCCTCTGAGCGCAACAGTGAGAGCGGTCAGGCTTTGCTCTTCCGTCCATCCGTTGGCAGTAGCAACAGTCTGGAATTGCCGACGATAAGCGTGCCAAGAAGTAGTGCCGTCGTATGGCGGCACTTTCACTCTTGGTCCTTGCGCCACTCCAGTGGTTCCACTAGACATCGCGACTCCCGTGGTTTCAAGGCGCACTACTTTCTTCTGCAGTTCAGTGAGGCCGGTTTTCACATTTTCAACATCCAATCCTAACCCGGTAACTCGTTCTTCGACTACGTCGACATCACTTCGAAGCTTAATCACCGTGTTACTAACATCATTTATAGCCCAAAGCGCTTTTTCTTGAAGGTCTTTTTGTTGCTCTTGTGACGCTTGCAAAGCGCTGAGCTTGCGTTCTTGTGACTCCTTCATTGCCTGAATTTCAGCCCTTTGCAGCTCCATTAATTTAATTAAACTTCCTAATTGAAGAGCCACTTCAGGGGCTGCAGAAGCTGTGGTGCCGCCGGTGGGCGTGGCAAGGTGGGCGTGGCCCGAGTGGGCGTGTCCCGGTGGGTGGAGTCAGTGGGCGGGGCTTGCACAAAAGTGGACGTGGCTTGAGCCAAAGTGGGCGGGGCTTGGGCCTGGGTGGGCGGAGTCTGATGGGCGTGGTCGGTGGGGTCAGTGGGCGGGGCTTGACCCATAGTGGGCGGGGCTTGGTCCTCAGTGGGTGTGGTCTCCGCAGCTCGTACCCTTGTCCTGACACCCTCCTTGAAGTCCTCTCTCGGAGTCAATGGCATCTCCAAATCCCACTTCTGACACCAGTTGTTACGTGTTAGGGGTTCGAAGGATTTGGAGAGAAAGACCTGCTGACTCTTTTGAAGACTTTATTCAATAGCACTAGGTCCAACACAAAGCACTAGGTCCAAATACTAAGCACTAACGATGTCCTATTTTGTAGCCAAGTCGTAGGTTCACTGGTATCGCTCTTGATCACTAGTTTTCGCTCCGAAGTCGCCTCGAAGGTAGCTCAAACTGAACTGTATTCGCTCGCCTCCCCGCGGCTTTTTATATGGGCCGAGACCGGTTCCAGACTAATCCAGAAAGATCCTTCCTGGAACGTACCCGACACGCCCGAACATGTTCGTGATACCGGAAAGTTCGCGAATGTACCCGGTTTTCGAGACTATAGTTCCACAGCAGTTCCTCTAACGCCATCTAGTATTGAATAGGGGGAATTTTTTATGTCGTCTTTGTTCTTTAGTGATTTTAATAGTTGACGCTAGATGGCGTTAGTTCCTTTGTGTGTTCATAACATTATGTTTTGTTGACTACTAAACATTAATAAATATATATGTCTTCAAATTGTTTGTTTTAAACTCAAAGATTAAAAAATAATTAAAAGCAAAACAAAATTGTGCATACAATTTATTACATACTAAAATTTATCACTAAGTAAAAAGTTAATACTATAAATAATATGACAATGAAACTTCATTAAAATATTATTATACATAATAAATACATAAATAAAAATACTTAATCTAGAGGGTTAGGCTAAGCTTTTGAAAACATATCTGTATAGTTACTGTCTTATTCATAATAATAATATGAATCCTCCAATAACTTATTATGAATAAGACTGTTTGGTCTTATTCATAACAAGTTATCGGAGGTTTAATAAATGCTTGCTAATAACAGATTGTCAAAAAGTCTTATTCATAATAGTTCTATAACGCTAAACCGTTCATTAATTCTTCGATAAAGTGTCCTAGTGATCCTACTATATATAAACCTTTGATAAACGTATACGTTATTTACAAAAAACATGGCCGGTTTTGGCCAGCTGATTACTGACGTTTGCAATGACTTATTTTAAATCATTCCACGCCGCCACCTTGTTAATACTGGAAAGCAATAACATAAATTTTAATAGGTAATGCACGCTAGACTTGCAAATATAAAAAAATTGTAACACCAACTTTATCTTCCTCAAGGCAATTTTCGCTACTCTGCATTTCTTAGCTTCATTTTAACAGTACAGTCATTTATTTATTTTGTTGACATCAAAAGACTACTAATAAATAACAACAGGAAAGTTGACACAAGTCAAAATAATATTTTTTTTTATTTGTAGCGATCTATCATTCAAATTTCACAATTTTTCTATGAAATTGCACCATTATGTTCATAAAGACATTTTATTTATTGGAAGTTTATCAAACGATTATGAATAAAGATTTTTATCGAATGTTTGTTATGCTTAAAAGGCGTTTTAACTAATTTAGGTTTTTACCTTTGATAACCGTTTTGTTATGAATAAGACAGTTAAAGTTTACACAAATGTATTTATCCCAAGGAGTTCCATGCTTTCTTTATGTTATAAAGCTTTAGTCATTCATTATGATTATATTTCAGCTGTCCATATCTCTTAAAGATAGGCATCTCCCACTAACTGTCATTAGTTATCATAAAGATATGTATTACCATTTAACAAACTAATGTTGGACTCTGAGCCAAGAAGTGTAGCAGTGTAGTTTTTTGATAAAGTTTGAGAAAGAAGTACATTCCGAACATGATAGATGAACATTAGTTGTAATGAAATTAGATTAATAAGGTTAATTAGAAATTAGATTAATAAGATAAATTAAAAATTATTAGATTGCCTTAATATTTATTTTCTGTGTTGGAAATCTTTGTTGTATTAATTTTCTGTATTCATAAGGAACCTATTTTCTCTTTCCCAGATTCTATCCGTATATGACACCGTACCTGGGTTATAGTACTCCAGCGAGTCACACACCACCATGTAAGTAAAAACTAAACAATAATGTAGTAATACAAGATAATATAACATTTTTAATTAAATATTATTCATGAGGGATGTCTGCAAACGTTATGACAGCTGATTGTTATTGTTATTAATTATTGCTGTTATTAAAACATTAAGATAAGCATGTTTAATTATAGTGTTAAAACTGTCGTAGTTGTTATATTATTGTAACAAATTATTATTAATAATTAACAACATTTTAATTTGTGGATTCTGTTTAGTTTAAAAATTAGAGCACAACAGTTTGACAAATTAACAAACATTCAGAAAGACAGTTAAAAATGCAGTATAATGCAAATATATAGCAACCACTGTCTCTTTATTATTCCTTGTGTATGGCGATAAAGATTACATGTTATTAAGTATAAGCACAATATTTATCTGCATATTAAGGGTTAAACAATCTCTGACGTCCCATGCTACAGTATCTATGAAAATTAGGTAAGACATGTATGTGAGAAGGTAGCAAACAAGCTGGCGGTTCACCTGATGTTAAGTAAAAGCCGCCCATAGACTTTGGCACCACCTGTAGGGTTGCAGATGTGTTACCACCTTTTAAGTAGGCCCCGGTTACCTCACTCACCGGATGAATCGGTGAGAGTGTAACAATTATACTTCACTACTAACAAAGCCTGGGGAAGCAGAAACTTTTGTTTAAATTGGGTTTGTTTTGTTTTTATTTAGTTTGAGTAGCATGTGTAAATGAGAATTTTTCGAAAAAATTATATCACTACCATATCCTTTTATATAATAAAATGTAATTCACCATGTGATAAAAGATAAAGATTTATTTTGAAATAAATAATTTATTTTCTAATTTAAAATTAGAACAGATTATATAATAATTACATGTATAATACCTTAGTAGACACCTTTTCTTAATTTTCCGCCGTCCGCTATTTTTCTTTTAGTAAAAAATACTGGATGTAATGTGTAAATATCCTTACATTTGTTTTCCATGAATATTTTAAATGAAATTTCTCCCTCTGCCCTGGATCTTTTTCATAACAGAAAGACATAATAAGTAATAAACAATATTAAAGGAAAAATTACATATATACATATATATATATATTTATGTTTCATATTATATTAAGATAGGTATATCTTATTGTCATAAATAGGGAAATATATCGATATCCATACTAAAATAATATCATTGATGTTTGGAAAATGAAGATCAATTATACGGACAATACTGACAAAAGATGGTGTATCTGAAATTGATGGGATTATATTTATTAAATTGAATTTACGTAACTAGTGGAATCAAAATACTTATGAAAAGAAATCTTCCTTACCATGTTGTTTTTGTGAGTAATGTTTGCAAGATTTCACTGCACGGTGTCCTATTTAATTTTTTTTCGTAGTCCGAATTATGTATTTATTCTATGATGCGAAAAATTGACGACACTTTTCTTCAAGACGCATTTTCCTGCATCTGACACCTTGATGCGTTGACATGCCAGACTAGACAGAATGTAGACGTACCGTATATAATATATTTAAAGGATTATATGTTTTAATACGAGAAGCGAAAACTTTGTACTGAGACAACTTTGCACGAAGAGTAGCTTAAAATTTAGCTTAGAGTTTATATGGAGAAAAAGATCAGGTTGTTACAATATGTGGCACAAATAAATAACTTAGAATGACGTGGAATAAAAGAATATTGTGTCAAACACATTAGTCATGTCAAACATTTGCACAGAGTAAATATTGTCGCCAAAGAATTTTTAAATGTCAGATTGATCGAATGACTTTCACAAACATTATAATTCATTATGTTTTAAATTTATCGAATTACTGACGAATTTCGACCAATGTTATATGCTAGTTATAAATAGAAAGTGATAGTATAGACCAGGCATTAATACGGTTGTTACTTTGATGATGTTATTCTGCAACTTGTTCGAATAAATAGTGTCAGTGTACATGTAATGTAGGTGTTTAAGGGCTAAGTTTTTTTAAATCGACAGGTGGTAATCGCCATTACATTTATAGATGCACAACTAAAGTAGCTGAATGATTGTAATATTTGTAAATCAAACTGATGTCCTTCATGAATTATTTTAACCAATTTTGTTTAGATGCGGTTTTGTTAATTATTTAGTTTGCGAAATAAAAAAAAAAAATAAAATTGCAATATGTCGGAGTTTAACAATTATTTTTAGCAATATATTTAAAATAAACATCCAACAGAGATTGCCGATTTTGTACAACGTTTAATATTAGCTCTCGTTTAATGGGTTTATTTAATTCTATCTCCGTTCCGTCTTGTTACGTTTGTCTGACACAATTCGTTACACATCGCTCCATATCAACTTTACACATGGAGTGTGCGTGAAACGAAACGTGAAGAAGATTAAATTGATCTTCTAATAAGCGCACGCCCCACCGCCGCCCCACATGCACCCACCGATGAGCGGTGAGTCTCGCCCACCCGAACCCGAACCCGAACCCACACCCACATCCAGACCCACACCAACCTTAACACCCACCATATAAACTCACCCCCTAAAGACCCCTTGACACGACCCGAGTACACTTGGACGCTATTTTGATTGTAAAATTGTGTAACAACCGACACAAGTCCCACTGACGTGGAAATGGCTCCTGATACAGAGGGTATTAATGTTGTAGTCCACCACGTGCTGCCACTGTGGGCTGGCAGACTTCACACATCTTGGATTCTTTTTGTTTGTTATTTCGGAAATACGCAGGTCTCCCCACGATGTTCACCTTCACCGCTGTGCACGTGATACTTGAGCAATTAAATTGACAATTTTTTCATTTTCTTTGGTGCTGACATTGGGATTTGAACTCCGGTTGAATTAAACGCGAAACTTGCTCGTCCAAGTGTGCTTTGTCGTGTCGTTATACCCAGAAGCCCCAACCGGCCGTTACGACCACAGTACAAGCTTTCACACCGCCCCCAATAGAACGGGTGTGGTCCTTTGTATGGCCGTAACGAGCGTCTAAATTGCATCAAATGCAATTATCATAGGTTCTCTATAAGAATTTTTGAACGAAAGTTGAAAATTTCGAAAAAACATCACCTTTGTCTACTTGTATATATTCGCTAATAGCGACAAGCAAGCTTTAAAATGGTGTTTGAATAATTTGACGATGAATTATGGCAATACCTTCTTTCGATATCGATAAAGTCGGTCCCGATGTTTGTACGCTTAGACCATTCAAACTATGCAACGGATTTCAATGCGGTTTTCAGAAATATATTTAGTGATTCATGCGAAAGTATTATATACATCCGTATCATAGTAGAGAAAAGCCGATTAACTGTTTATCTACATTGCATTCGTACGATGCCTAGTACCTGGAGGACCGAGCTTTGCTCGGCTTTTATATATATATATAATATATATATATTGCTCGTTTAAAGGATAAGCTGAGATCGAATTGGTCTATAATATATTAGTGTTTACATAGAAATTATATCGAATCCTCTTTAACGAGTTTCAAAAAAAAATTAAAAATGTTTTTTCCAAGTTAAGCAATAACACCGATTATGCACACTTTTAAATTGTTATTTAACATGTATTACGTAAAATTTTCTCAAAGTTAAGTGAATATTGTAATATTCTTTTTTGAGAAATAAATATTTCTTTGAACCTAAATCCCTAACCGTGCTCACTATTCCGCAGGTATACGCCCCACCCCTACAAAACGAAGCCACAGAGTTCCCATTATAGACCCAGCCACTAGTAAGTATACATTAGTTGGAACCGTGTTGCAGAACTGGAACGAAACTTAATGAAATTTCAATTAACAGTGAATTAAATCTAAAAAAAAAAAAAGAATTTAGAGTAACGGTAACGAATGTCTCAATAAGAAAGTGTATAAAGGAAACAAACTATTAGGCTCGTGGTGAAATTGAACTTACTATTAACATTCTGTAAACATTACTATTCTCTTTAAAGTTCCAACACTCTACTAAGCTGTTCTTTTCATAAAACTGACAAGTGCCGATAATTTTAATTAAAACTCGCGTGAACCCTGTATGGACGCACAGAAATTATAATTTCAAACGTGCATTTTCGATAATAACAGTTGTAGAAAATTTTCGTTAGCTTTCTGACCCAATAAAGCTATTTGGAAACCTCCGCCCTTTCTGTTTCGAATGTGGCGAATCACACATATTGATGAGGGGAAAAAACCAAGGTTGTATTTGTCCCACAACGATGTTGACTCACACTTAAAAAAGAAACTCGAAGGTTAAGAAAAAAAATGTAAATTCTTGTATTGTGTTCAAGAATAGTGTGCAAAATATGATGATATATTCGACGCTGAATTTATGAAGGATAAATCTGAGAGATACGAACAGTGTTATTATAGTTGGGATAGCGTCATTTCTTTTCTATGTGAGAAGGTGGCAAGTTCACGTGATGTTAAGTGATAACCAGTTGCATATTTTGTTAACACGATAGGCAGACGTGTAACACTTACACTTCACGCCGATCTTCTGTGAGGTCGTGGTGCTCTCCCTGCCCATTCGTGCAACAGTACACTGCTGCCTCGCCCTGCCACATTGAAAATTCACGTGGAGTACAAGTGATATTTTCACGTCATCCATTCAGATATGACCTATACTGTTATTGTCTGTATAACGCTTCTACTCATTGTTTCAGAACAAGAAGTTCTTTCGGAATTGTACAATAACGACAATACGTATTACGTTGGCGTTGAAACAAACGAGAGGCAAACTCCGCAACCGGTGAGTTCAAATATTGCACCACCGCCCTTGTGTTGGTGCCTAGGTTCTATATTGTCTAGATTACAATAGATTCTTCATTGAGAAATTGTTAAAACTATCGTATGACTTTGTTAACTAAACAATATATAAATGAATGAATACATGAATGATAAATCGACGGGAATGAGTTGATCGCTCCCAAGCTAATTCTAAAAGAAAAAAATTAATGTTTCGAGGGGGAAAATGCCAATGCCATCGGAGGCCCTTCATCGGGCGAGTTGGATGAGATTGATACATTGATTATACATAAATTCAGCCGTCTCATTATTTAGTTAAGATTCGTCAATGTAACAGATAAACGGTTAGGATAGTAATTATTTATACGGAGGCCCGTTATACCGTTTTTAGAACCTAAAGCAGCCGTAACGCAACACCCCAGCTGTACAATTCGCAGTATTAGTGGTATTTAGATGCCAATTGATCAGGAATATTAATAATAATGCAAATAAATTTAACACTTATCGCAAACGTCTTTAAAAACAATGCTTTACGTGTCTAAAATAAAGTAAACAGTGACAAGATCTCTAAGACTCGTAATTATTTTAACAACGGTTTTTTCTTTTACTTAAACCTCACCTGACCTAATGTAGGTCGATACGCGAAGTTGATGCGTTTCACGGTCACGAATTGAAGGCCATTCGAGGCCGAGTGCGATTGGAGCTATTCGCGGGTGAGGCGACTGACTCGCGTACCATTTCCGCCAGGAGCCGCCGACGCACAGCATCGCCGAGGAGTTCTCGAGGCTGGTGAACGAGTCGATAGCGAACGAGCCGCCCAAGCACCACCACTACGGCCAGAAGCCGTGCGAGCTGATCGCCCACCAGCCGCTGCTAGTGCAGCAGCCGCAGTCGCAGCCGCAGCCGCAGCCGAGCGCGTTCGCCCACGCGGCCGGCAGCGGCCCACCGAAGGCCGACGCGCCGGGCGCCAACGAGGCCAAAGCGCCGAGCGCCGCCATCGAGATCGTCGCCCCGCCCCCCGAAACGCCCGTAGTGTCCGCCATCTCGGATAGCCCCGTAATAGTGCCGAAGATCGTCGCCGCGGCGCCCAAACAGCAGCAGAAGGGCGCCGGCGAGGTTGTCCACGCGACGGACGCGGGCAGGCCGTCGGCGGCCGTCTACAAGCACCAGCAGCACGCCAAGCCGAAGGGGAGGACGACCGCACCGCAGATGGAGGACTTCGTGGCCGAGGGCATTGCGCACATCGCCCTTGCGCCTGCGGCACCAGCGCCGATGGAGTACGCGCCGCCAGCGGAATTCACCGCTCCCGCTCCCGCTTCCGCGCTCGCGCCCGCCCCCGCGCCCGCTCTCGCTTTCGCCCCCGGCGCCGCGCCCGTCCCCGCCCCCGCCCCCGTTCCCGTCGCAGCCGCCGCGCAGATGCACCACGCGTACGCGCACCCGTCCGCCATGATGAACGCGTTCGCGCTCGCGCCGCAGCCGCAGCGGATACGCGAGCCCCGCGAGAGGCCCCGCTCCGAGGAGAAGGAGAGGAGGGAGACGAGGGAGAGGGAGGCGCAGATGCTGGAGAGGGAGCTGGCGTCGGTCAAGCAGAACGGCCCCACGCCGCTCGGTGAGTGCCGTTCCCTTACACAGCGCGGCCCTCCGTGGCTGTGACGTCGCCGCACACGTTTCGCACGAGTGACGTCACAGCCACCGGACGCAGCCGACAACCCCTATATGTTTTCATTGTGCAGTAAATCGAACAATTGCGCATTTCGATAGTCGATTGGATATAGTGTTGAGCGCACACTTGTAACTAGCTCCTTATTTGTAGCGACGCTCAACCGTTTAGTTTGAGCGAACGTCCGAGATATCACCAGGGCCAGAGCATTGGCGTTTAACTTTAAGATGCTAAAACATGTGTTACTTAATTGAATTACAGGTACAGCGCGTTCACTTTAGTAACGGTAGAATTTGTAGACTGTATAGATTCGAAAGAAGGCACTCGTTGTACACTAAGCGAGGGGGGACCTCGATTACGAGGCGTCACTCGAGTAAGCATGAAGTTTGGACGCAAGTTCAAACGATCCGTATTAAATCAAAGAGCGCGGGGCGCCGCCCTCATGTCGCCACGCTCAGTATCTGGAACATTCGATCTCGTACCATTTAGAACATTGCTCTGGCATGAATCTGAACTCTGCACTTCTCTCTCGCCCGCACCATAGATTGCGTCGGGCTCCTCTTGTATCCCATGCTTTACTTTGCCTATCTTCGTTTCTTTACTGTGCATGGGAAACGTTCCGTCTACGGTTAGCCCGTCCGCCGCCTCTGTACTTGGTTTGGTGGTTTCCGCTATTTATTACGCACTCTAACCGCCAAAGTAGTGCACCGTGCGTTTCGTATTAGATTGCCGTTTTCGTTCCGCTGAGGACGTCGGACCTCGGCCCAGACCGTCGATGACGAGAGACACTGTAGCGAACGGGCTAACATCGCACGGGTATGCTAATATATCTCTAACTAGACCAACTAGATCTTGTCAATCCCTGTGCCGTTTCACTTTCTCAATACACTAGGTACACCCGCGTTCCAGGGCCGTTCTCACCGCCCACAAATACCCACTAACCAAGAACAGCCATCGGCCATCGGGGTCACGGTCCGCACCGAACTCGATGGCCTGCCCGTAAGCGATACGTCATAATTGACGCACGCATGAGAACATGTGCTGCGTTATGCCCTACCCACTGAGGAGGGCCTCAAACCCGTCATAGGTTCTGCGGTCGATGAAGCGCCGAATTTCACGGTAGGGCCATGCAGCAGCCTCGGCTCGTCCGAGTAAGTACCATGTCCTCACAGAAAACCGGCGTAAAGTTGTGAGATGTGTGGAAGTGAGTAAGGTGGCCAGAACCCAATTTTCAAAACCTTGTCAATGCATCTGGAACCCTCAGGTGTAGCAAATGTCCATGGGCGACGGTGTTCACTTACCATCAGGTGAACCGTCTGCACGCTTGGCAAGTATTCACATTAAAAAAAATGAAGCTTTAATAGTTTAAGGACTGAAAGCGTAACATCCGTTATATAAAATACACATACAATACATTCTAAATTACGTGTTACAACTTCTCTTAAACTAGACGCCACCGATTTCGGAATCTCCTTTCCCATCAGACACCGCCAGTTCTGTTGAACGACATCGATGTCAAAATTAACATTGCTAAATTGTCAAAACGATAAATGGAACGGTTACGGTTTAAAACGCAGCTTGTGTCGCGGGAGCTGTAGTTGGGACATTTAGCGGTGAATTATTACTACTCGTGGTCACCCAGACTGCGTCGAGTTAAGCGCGCTGTAGTTTTCGGTGAAATGACGTTTTTTATTTATACACAAACGTCCCAGGCCGTCAGTAATTTATTAAAATGCTTCGTTTGACCGTATTCAAATTTCTTGGTCCGAATGGTAGGGCGATTCTCATTGTTATGTATTTCTTATATTTGTCAATTATTTTTATTCGTAGTAAATGATTTAATCACATCGACGTTAGTAGAAATAAATCCGCAACACTAATTTTTATGTTTTTGTTTACCGACAGTATCTCGTACGAACAATCCCACAAGTTACTCCGATGGGGAAGTAATGATTTTTGTTTGATAGTGAAAGATTTAGTCACACAAACGTAATAGATACGAACCCGGGTTCTTTTTTATACACCGATACTGACCGTCAGCCCTCGTCCAACAGTCGAACGAGTTGCTTCACAGGTAAGGTAACACCGAGATAGCGTCACACGCTAAGCCGCGAACCTGCGACCGTTAGATCGGCGCCGATGCACGGTGCCCTCTGAGCCGCGAGCGTTCAATAATCAAGAGCTGTTTACCTTGTTCGGGAGCGCCTCAGGGCAGACGTGCGCGCAGCCACGTTTCCGCAGCAAACCGGCGACCCGTCCACAGCCGGTGCGGCCCTCCAACTGGCGCCGATCAGGAACCATCTTGGCTGTACCCGTTCCAAAATAAAGGTCACAAACAACGGTGGGAGCCATCGCGTCGCGTAATTAGGGATGCACTGATCTCTGGTCTCGCTCCCCTCGCGGCGACGGACCGTGCACTCTACGCGTTTGGTACACGGACCGTGGTGAAAGCACTTCTGGTGTATGCACACCATCTATGTCACCCCTATCGCTCTTCAACTGTCAAACGTTGATTTGTAGGGATGTGTCCTTTCTACGACCCGCACCATAGCCCACTTCGTCGTACCACTATCGAATTTATCGCTATAATTGATCAAATCGATGCTTCGTGCATATGCATGCATGGCGGCGAGATGGTTCGCCCCGTTAACATGCACCTCTCAACAGAGATAAAGCGAATGGTTCAAATGGGTCCAAATTAAAAAAAAAGCATCAGTTTTCATTTCCATGTTTACATAGATATTAGCCGAACCGACAGACCTTGTCCTGTACACCCGGCTTACATCGAAAAACAACTTATAAATAAAAAAATTGTAGAAGAAATTAGAATGTAAACCATTCTCGAATGACATGAAGTGACATAAAAATATAATAGATGCCGAGACAAAAAGTAGACCTATGCAAATCGATCATTTAACATTTAACACCTGTCTCGCCCGTATGTATGTTGTAGAGCAAAATCAATATGTCGCCGGGGACATATTGATTTACATAGTCCTCGCATCTGACAAGCTTCGAATTTCCATAATTCATTGTTACGTAACTTCGGACGCGACCGCTGCGGCTTCCAGCTAGTCGTGTAAAAAAAATCGCGTCGCGTTATCTTTCCGACCGTGGAAATTATCGCTCGTGATAAATCTAACTCGAATTGCTTTTGACGCAAGCACTGAGCAACGCATTGAGCAATGTACGCAAAAGGCCGGAATGAGGTACAAAAATGTCAACGGTTAATTTAAATATCCTGACTATTGGTTAATGTGCCGTTCACCATTGATTTATACGATATTGGTCCCCTGTTAATATATTAGCATATTTTTAATTAAGCATCAAAATGGCGTTGCGAATTGCCGTCATGTGTTATGTTTAATAGTTGTACATATTATCGTGGCGTATGAAACCGCTACAATTTCGGTATTCTAATAGTTATTTCGAACTTCAAACGCAAATATATTCGTCTGTTCTCGAAGCACCGCATAAAAATCAATTGTTCCAAAGAAAACTACGTACCGATAATGTTTTGTTTCTTTGACCGGTATGTTTTTGTTACAATCTTTATAGATTTTACGAAAAGGAAAGAAAACTGGTTTAATATTTTTCACCCTACTATTATTGTACTGTTCTATTATGTAATTTAATTCTAAAATGTAATGGTTGGTTTTTCAAATGTTTCATGTCTTAAAATTTAGTCGCTCAAGTTAGACGAAAATCGCTCATAAAGAAAACAAATACACGCTTTGAAACAACTTTTAAAAATCCAGCAGAGAGTTCATGTGTTAAAATGGGGCCTTTTAATGAGTATACGAAATTCAGTTTTTTTAACTAGTCCTCTCATCTTCATTATAGATTCATATAAATTGAAAGATGTGTCCATCAGTACTTACAATTTACAGTTATTTATAGGAATGTTTTAAGTTTAACACACTGAATACACTCAATTTGATCATTGTTCTTGTTTGTCTATAAAGGAAGGACATTAATTGGCAAAATATCAATAACGAAAAGAGATGTCACACAAACGTTAACGTGACCTAAGACTATCAAATGCAGATAAAGTATAATAAAACTGTAAATAATGAACTTACAAAAATAACACTCTATCCGTTATGAATCATAAGAAGAAACACTTTTCTTAAACAGTACTTTATCTTTTCAATATGTTTTTCACAAAAAAAAAAAGAGAATCGATCAGCTAAATATTCCACTGCAAATGCGTACTGAGGTCACGTTTGCTCGACGGTCTTGGGCTTTAAGCCACACGATGGGATAATTTATCGACATGTCTTTATTTGATTTTAAATTTATTGCTCTTATACCTTTGTATTTGTAAACGGAAAGTGTTACAGTTTCACGGTTACATATTTGCATGTAGTTTGATGCACTTCGTCATTATACTAATAGAAGAAATACATTCTCGGGTGCTTTTAATAAGCCCGTATTATAAAATAATTGAATTTTTAGTCAGGAACAGCAGTCCGACAACTAGGCTTACTAATTTAGAAAAAATTTAATCAGCCTCAAATTGACAAACAATTTAAAAAAAATTAATTAGGTTTGTCTTATTTTTTGACCTAAAACAATATTCATTTAAGAGTTGTTCTCTCTTCGTTTTATAATATTAATATTGAGGAATGAGTTCCATGATTTAGTTTTAAATCAGTTTTTTCAATTCCTATTAAAAACTTAATTTTATTGATTTACATATTTTTAACATCATTCGAAAACTGAATGTGAAACACTCGATTCGATTTTCAAGAACATGGGCACAGCACTAGTATCACTCGGTCGCCTGTCCGCATGGAATGATCCAACATGGCGGCTTTTACTTCACAGTCACTCGGAGCGTGGCTGCGTTTTAAATATTTTTAACATTATTAATCTCGGTTTTTATACAAAAATAACTTATTATAGCATTTTATAGTTTAAAAAAATATTTAAGTTTAACAAATAAGTAATGCGGTTCAAGACAAACGAGTGCTAAAATTCAGACGTTCTAGATCCTTGAGTGACCTTTTGGATATACTTTCTTTTACCATATTGCTACGTGATCAAACCTTATGCAGTAGTGTGATATTTGTTAAAAATAAATGGATTTGAATTCTGTGATATAGTTTAGATATCAGTGCCACATATTTTTTAATCTGATATTCAGGTAATGTATAAGACGGAACTCCCACGTGGAAATAACTCACGTCTCTATTTATAGACCTCGAAGTTGCTTCACAAAAAGTGATAGCGTAGATTAAAAACCAATGAAAATACAATTATCTCAACTCGCATATTATTCTGCTGCCTTTTTTTGCCCGCATTTGGTGATGCCCTACAAGTTTTGTCACCCTGTTACGGCATTAGACATTTGTTTCGTTTTTACAATCCTGCCGTTTAGCCATATACCTGCATTATCATAATGAAAAATTGTCTTTTCCTTTATCTATTACCTAATAGATTACACGATCTTTTTCCCTATTGCTTGGCAAATCAATAGTGACCTCCATTTTGACAGGCGATTTCTAGTCTTGCGGCGAAATACTTTCATTTACTGGAACCATGATTTTTGTAATTCCTGTGCTGTGATGATGTGTCCATGGCAATATCTTCAAATGCTCATGCATGCGCTTCATAAATTTTAATCTGCTAATTGTAATTAGTAAATAAATGTATTAATTTCCTTCAATATGTCATAATGGTATTTTTTTAATTTCAATGTCTTTAATACTTGAATTTACATAGAAATAATTACTAATAATGATTCCATAAACTTTTGCCATTTGTCTTTTAAATATAATGCAATTATAATTTTAACAATAATTAAAAAATATATTAATATTGTACATATTAGTCAATAATTGATTTTTTTAATGGTTCAATAATAACATTTACATTGAAATGTTAGGGAGTTCATATAATATTGCAAAATTTTTAATGAATATTAAAAATACTGTACTAAAATGTTAACTTTGCTTTTCAGTGAGTTCTGTTGATAGTATACCAGAAATTATCAATCCTGCAACTAGTCAAGTAAATCAAGCAATCCTAACAGAAACAAAAGCATCCATAATAACTAAGCAATCTTCATCAGCCCCAAATCCACAAGTGCCTGCACCTGAAACGAAAGTAGAAATATTTAATAATAAAGAGCTAACAACATTCCCCGAGACACCATTACTCACTGCCACAGAATTGCTCTCTGCAAGCATTGAAAAACTTGCTAAAGAGTCAGCTTCCATAACTACTAGCGAAACAAAAGAAGCATCAAGTGCAATAGAAGCACAAACCAAATTAACTCAAAGTATAGCACGCGCTCATCCTGAATTCAAAATGAAAGATATTAATCTAAATATTCAGTCTACAGGTGAGTTTTCATAATATCTGGATATCTAATAAGCAGTTTGCCATGGAATTCAGTAAGATTTATATTAGAAGTTGATCCTGTCCTTTGCCATTTATCACCTTTGTTTCCTTTTCAAACTGTCATTTGTTAATTTATCTAGTTATGCTTTTAGATCCAGACACTGCCAATGGTAACGTAACAGAAGTGTCGCAAACGAAAACCGAGTCTGTTATGGAAGATATTAACAGGAATGAAAAAGTCATAAAAAATTCCAAGAGCAACAAGAAATCAAATAATAAAATGGCAAACAATGAAACAAATTCTAAAGAAACCGAATCAAACGAAAATGGTAAAGATGAGACTGATAAAGTAAGTAACGAACAGGAACAAGTCCTGTCTAAGACTGATGAGGCGGCGGAGAAAGTGCCCCTTGTGGAGAAACCAGAGTCCACGCCAGCGCCGGCACCCGCGCCTGCCGTCTATGTACCTAAATACAAATATAATGATGGTGAGTTCCTAATGTTAGTTTCTTCAAATCAATTATGCCTTGCCACCGCAACTATGTCCATCACAAGAACGAGTAATGTTCCATATGCAAAACTGTTTGTACTCTTCATTGGATTCTATTAAAAAACAAATTTCAGTTGGGGCAACATTATTGAATTTGTAATATTTTCGATCCTTGTGTACTTAATCTCAAAGGCCTGCTTTTTCTTACTTTAGATCAATGGTCGCCAATGAACAGGTCTGGCAAAAAGTGCTACGATATTGGCTTGTTAATGCAAATAAAGGAAGACCCAATGTCCAAGACCAAACCTAATGCGCCCCTCTTGGAAGCCTGTAATGTCATTAGGGTAAGTTATATCCAGTTTCTGGGTTATTTTGTTTGTATTCATTGTTTTTGCGTACCATCTTATTATTACACTTAATACACATTCAATTTTACACTCAAAAAATGGTTAAAATAAACAGGCTATTGAGATTATTTTGCTGGTTCTTCTCAGGTCAGTGGCTTTTCTTATCCGAACCGGTAGTTGTATTTTGACTATCAATAAGTGAGTGTAATGCCCTTAAGTTGAATAAAGATATTTGAATATCCATTATTCTCTAATGTCCAAGAGGGAGAATTAACGCGAAGAAGTCTGAGAGATATTTCGGAGATAATTAGCAATGAGCAATGCCATATTGCCCAACAGTCGGTTTTTACGATCTTATTGTTATTTTTGTTTCTTATTTTCTTTTCCTGTAACATAATCTTTCTCTTTAACTCTCTTTGCAGACGACGCCCCACCAGGAGCCGCAGCCCTTCAACCCGATCTCGAGGCCGGTCAACGACTCTCTGTTCCCGAACTTCGCCAAAAACTCTGGAATCGCCACGAGGAGTAACGTGCCCCGCGACCAGAAGAAAGATGGAAGGAACATGGCCTCGAGTAGTACGCATATCAACCATTTAACCTTACAATATGTAACACACATTTACTTTACACGCTTTAGAAATTATCAACCAGTTTCTTTCTCTCTCTCTGTTGCATGCATACAACTTCACATTCTCTCTGTATATGAATATATTGTTTGACCAAATTTTGATAAAGCAATTGATGACACAAAAACTATCTTTTAAATGTAAGCATATGATTGATATTTAATATAACAATATCAGCAGTTGTTTGAATACATTAGTTTTTGGCTTTGCCGCGAACACTATGTCCATTGTACACTGACATTAACACATGACATGTCGATATGTCCATAACACATTTTGTTACCTTTCGCACCCGCAGGCAAGGGCAGCGTGAAACTCGCCCCGGCTCCCAGCGGCGGCAGCTCGCACAAGAACGTGATACGCGTTTCCCTTACCAGGGAGGAGGTCAAACTCAACCAGACCAAGGATGCGTGGAAGCCGACCAGGCTGAAGAATGCCAATATAAGCGAGGAGGAGTTCAAGACTCAGGTGAGAACTGTGCCCCTTTGCTATTGCCCGAACCGGACCGCTTGCATTTCAATTCGCCCTGAAGCATTCGTACTGTTTGTGTTTCGAAGAACACAATAAAGCATTGTATGCTTTGTACCATTAAACAAATGACGAATGCAAAAAGTACAAAACGTTATTTAAAAAGGAAAGCCTTGGCTCAATGGAAACACTTTTATGTCTTGTGTCGGGATCCGGCTGTAGACTTACTAGGCTCTAGACTTAATAACTGGTTTACACGCGTAATAAATACATTCATTCTGTCGCTACTAAACAGGCTCGGATTTATTCACAAATAACAAACATTCTATAGGTTTATTCAACGGATGTCCTTCGCCATTTTAGAGACAGGACAGATGCATTTATTGTGCGCTCTCGAATCGGTTTACCCTCGCGCGACCTACATAGTCGAGAGACGGTCGCTTTCGTCCGGTTTTGCACAAAATCTATCCCATGCCTAATGCCGATTAGTGCAGCGGCGAAATACGCTTCCGTGACCCAATTCGCACTGTCGCATGTAAATATAGAGCTTGCGCTCGCTGAATTAGTTATTCTATCGCGACATGTTTGAAACGTTTCGCCTTATTACTTTTCTAAATTCGATGTATACATACGCTCTTGAACGTGATAGATTATCGGTGGCCAATGTTCTCGCCGAAATTATTATATACCTGTACTAATATTCGACTGTTACTGGTGGATGTCAATGGAGTCTCATGCCTCACGTTCGCCCTTGCAGGAGTTGTACAAGAAGTTCAGAGGCATCCTAAACAAACTGACGCCGCAAAAGTTCGACACACTGATGGAGAAGGTCAAGACGCTAGAGATCAACAACCAGAGCCGTTTGGAGGGCATCATCGATTTGGTGTTCGAGAAGGCAATCGACGAGCCCAACTTCTCTGAGGCCTACGCCAACATGTGCAACAAACTCACCACTATCAAGGTAACGACTGTATTCACATTGCTCTCTCAAACGATGTTCCAATTCATGCAGCAGACATCCCATTTGTTTTATCTTTTTGTCCTATAACATGTCCGAGAATCAGTTATAGAAACGAGGTAGTTGTGAAATTTATCATTATTCCATTTCAGCCACAATTAATAAACAAATCTTTGAAGTATTAGTTGAATATTCCTTAGTTATCTGTGTTATTTGAGAGTATTGAACCTTTGCGCGGGCGATAAACAATTGATTGTTGTTGCATATTAGTTGAATGATCGCGATAACCTATTAAGTAGATACGAGTGAAATGCAACACTACAAACTGAATAGCGTTGCGCGAACAGTTTCCAAGATATTGGATGGTTACGGCGCCGGTGGTCGTGGGTTCGATTCCCACACGGGACATCTGTGTGACCCACAGATGATTGTTTTGGGTCTGTGGTGTGTGTCCACGTGGAATTATTTTTTGTTACGTCCCTTTAAAACACAGGACAATGTTAACCTACAGTAGGGGGGCAATGCTTTTGATGGGAAGACCCAACCCCTTTCACACAATATACAAGAGCCGTGATAGCTCATTGTCCGAGCGCTCACTTTTAATTCAATATACTCGAGAGACCTGAGTTCGATTCCCGATTGAATTGTTAATTTTAAGTACTAACGTATCATATGCTCTGCAGTGAAGGAAAACATTTTGAGGAAACGTGCAAATTTTCGAAATAGTAACAAAAAAAAATATTTTAAAAAGATTTGTGTCCTTTCGAAGATGAATGTCCTCTAATCCGCAGTGGGGTTGCGTGGTGGACTTTGCCCTGATACCAACTGTACTGAGGAGCTCCTCTGGCCTTTGCCCAGCGGTGGGACATGTATAGGCCGTTACTTAACTTTTTCTTTCGCAAAATACAATGCGAATGTGGCGTGATAACGGTGCGTAAATGTGTGCACAGGTGCCGGCGAACAACGCGGCCCCCGACCAGTATGTGAACTTCCGCGCCCTCATCATCAGCAAGTGCCAGAACCAGTTCGTCACGGAGAAGGTGGACGAGGACATTCTCAAGCTCGAGAAGGAGATGAACGAATGCACAGACCCCGTGAGTGAACCATCCTCCCACTCCATTCCATTCCGATGCCAAACCCCAAATCAACTGCTACATACAATTTAGCCGAATAAGGGGACAAATGTATTATTTATATTACTCATGTCGTTTATAGTAAATAAATTAGGCAGAGGTGACACCCGAATTTGGAGCAAGAAGCATTTAACCGTTTAAGTTGTCTAACTTCATGTTTGTGTCAGCGTTGTAGTTGATTTCTAAGGGACAATAATATATTGTTGTTAAACCACCTTACATAAATGATCGCTGTGACGTAGAACAAGACGAAGAGACAGATTTGTATGCACAATTTTTTGTATGTCGTTGCGAGTGGAATTTTCCAGGTATTGACGAATACGGGATGAGAGGAACTTGAATTTAAAATTTTTCGCTTCGTATTTTTTTTTATTCGCTGTAACAGTTGCAACTGCAGAGTGTGTGGAAATAGCTAAATGATTAATAAATATTACGCAATACGTCCTCATCTCGTCAAACTGGACGTCGTTACTTGCTCGATAGGTTCGTGAAGTAATTACAACACTGCAATTTGGTGATTTGGCTGACGTCATTGGGTATTTTCTTATGATCCACTATTAGTCATCGATAAAAATGACAAAATAAGTCTTGGTAAATTATTCCAGTGCACTATTCAAATCATTACCTAACTTATGACTTGTGGTTTTGATTATTGGAATGTCGAATACCGGTGGGATGTACCAACGATTATGTCTGTTTTGCGGATATTATTAATTTACCTCCGTCCCATACCGTATAACTTTGTCAGGAAACAAAGAAAAAAAAAATATCGAAACGAACTCAGCGTTTTTTCCCTTGCAGGTCAAGAAGAAGGAGCTGCAGCTTCTCTTGGAGGAGGAGAATAGGAAGATGAGGATGAGGTCCGTCGGCAACGTGCGGTTCATAGGTAAGCTGAATGAAGAATGAACACAACGGCGATATCTCGATATAGATAGTGCTCGACCATAGATCGTGTTAAATGAGATTGCTATGCGGGAGGCGTTTGACTATCGAAACTCGATAAAGCAAAGAGTAATGTAGTACCATTTAACGAGCGCCGTGTTCGCACGATATGAAAATTTCGTCTTGCATACTCTTAAGGCTGACGTGCCTCATGAAACATTTATAAGCAAGGATGTTTTGAATAAAGAACACGCATGTCCATACTTTAAAAATATGATATATATAAGTGAATGGGATAGCTGATATACATCGTATGATACGGAAAGAGATAGTCTATAGGCTTGAAATTAAATTACACCGTTTTTAGTGTGCTAGTATCATATCTACCTCGTTACAAAATTATTGAGTAAATTCGAGTAAACTGTAATTAAGTTGAAATATACCTCTCCGCCATGGTAAAGTGACAAAAGACTGCGCGGCGAACATTTTTTGTTTGTTATCTCTTGTCCTGCCCTGCCCTAGCGAAATTCATATATTTGTATGTGTAAAATGTTTGTGTGATATGTACTGGCGGATGGTTGTGTCGATGCGTTAATTAACTTCATTAAATCCGCGTGCCGAGCGAATATATTGAATAGTCCATAAGTTGTTGTGGCGTTGTTATATTCATAAGCTATTGTTGTTCCGGCATCGTGTCGCACCATCCGCTCTAAGATATTATCGCACTCGCGGCAAAGACATTTTTTTTTTTTATGTCAAGTCACTTTATTATTTGCTCGTACATTTACCTTGCATTCGAAATGATTTCGCACACGTCACCTTGTTTGCATTGCGTCTCTAGTGGTGACGTCATCGTGCAGCTCTGCCCGTGCAGACGTCGGCTGTGCGCGCGTCGACTCGGTTCAGCGACGGCGATGACGTCACCGCCCGCGGAACGGGTGACGTCACCGCGTGTATTTATTGCGCTCGCTCGCCGCTTATCGCGCGGACACACGTCGGCTCCGAGAACGTTGAAAGCGGTCGCGTTTTGCTTTCGACACGGGGATATATATATATATATATATACGCGCGATTCTCCGCCGCAGTGCCGATTCGCGTTTTGCGCTCATGCGCACATGTGCGGGATAGGATGACTGTTATTCCTCTGGAATTTTCCTTCGGTTCTCTCCCCGGCAACCGTTTCCGTTGCCTAACTCATCCCTCTTCGTACCTATCACAATAGGTTTCTTAAGGCAACAGCCGGAAGAGCAGTCGTACAGGGCCCATGGCTTACTTTACAATGGGGAGCAGGATAATAGACCGTGCAGGCTATCCTACCACAATGCAAAGACAAACCTGTTTACATTATATTACGAATATTTTTATTATATTTTACATTATGTCACGAAGGCTCGTCAGGTAAAGTTCTGTCGCACGGAAGACCAGCGTGATGTGGAAGTGTTATCCTTTCGCGTTTCATCTGTTGAGTGTGGTTATCGGGGCCATCTTTTTTTAAGGGTTGTCAACGTATTTACAAGCCTTAAAGGGTCGTAAATGTTCATGGGTAGCGGTGTTCACTAAAACATAGTGTGAATCGCTTGGCAACTTTTCAGATAAAGGTTAAAGTGTTCTAGATTCAGGCAGCCATTGAACTAGAAGCGTAACTGTATTGGGTCGAGCAACAGTGTTCGCTATTGCACGAATGGGCAGGTCCGTCCGGGGAAGTACCGCGACCTCACATAAGACCGGCGTGAAGTGGAAGTGTTACCCTTCTTCGTTTCGTCTGGTGTGAGTGAGGTAGCTGGGGACCACTTTAATAAAAGGTGGCAACGCATCTGCAAACCTACGGGTGTTGCAAATGTCTATGAGCGGCGGTTATCACTTGACATCAGATGAACCGCCAGCTCGTTTGCCACTTTTTCACATAAAAAAGAGGACCTGCAGGACAGAGCTTTGCTCGGTTTGTTTTTTTTTTTTTTTGATTAATCGTGTATTTTGGAAATTACATTTAGATACAAATTACTGAGTAATGAAATATGCTGAAATATTTTTCGATCTTACCGACGTCATAATAAGAAAATAGAACTGGTGTTTTTCACAAAAGAAAGAACTTCAAAAAAAAAAAGGGAAACAAATAACAAAATAACAAATCGACAAAAAATAAAGAAAGCAATGATCTGGAATCGAAAAAAAGTAAAAAAATAAGCATGTAAATGATCATGATACGAACCGCGGCCGTCTGTTTTGGGGCCGCCCGATTACCGACCGAGCTATTATAACATTTAACTGTGGAAGTATAGTCTTGTATCTTACACATTAGAAGCTGGCATTGGCTGATCCCTCCAGTCCATATCTATTAGAATTCAATGCCTTGGTAATTTTAGGGCCCTCGGTATATAAAAATTCCCATACTGCACCGATCGTGTATGCAAATACCGATAACGGGTGACCGTGAAGGCAGGCGCGTTTCTTTAACCGGATTTTTTATGTTGCTCTAAATTTTATTTCTTAAATGGGTTTTGTATGTTTCTTAAATGGGGTGGAGTAAAAAGGGATAGATATTTGTCTTTAGTTAATTTTCCATAAACATGGTAGTGTTCTGCGGATCGGAACCCACGGCCCTTGTAGTTTGACATCCCAACCACTTGGCCAAGGTCGCCTCCGATTGATAAATGACGTTATGATCTATAAACAGACGATATAGAACTCGGCATAAGAAAAGAAAAACGGATGGATTTTATATAATTGGGTAATTTGTTTTTATTTAATTTGGAACAGATGAAAAGACCTCACGTTTATAGGTACTAAAACCCTACCTTAGTTAAAGGCAGATTTGAAACATTTAATATTAAATTATATTTGAAGTGAACAAATAACCACTCGAGGCCGCGTGCGAAGGTATACGTGTAATATTTTGTACGCGTTTGTTTGTGCAACATTATATATTTGCTGCCGCATAAGCTATTGGACTTTGCCGTTCACGCGCCGTACACTAGCCGCTCTCTGGAACTTGTTTCTTACATGCACCGCAAGTTTTTTCCGTATGCAGTGCGCACAAGCGAATTGTCACGTAACCCACTCTCGCTTGCCTTGGAGTCTGTTCTTGCAAATTTTACTTTGCGGTTAAGTGGAGCAATGTGATTGAATGTCGTACGTCGTTCGCGCATTTACCATACGCCCTCTATTTCAGGCGAGCTGTACAAGCTGAAAATGCTCACGTCGAGAATTATGGTCTTTTGTATGAACTATCTTGTGGAGAAACTCGAGGAGGAGAAACTGGAGTGCCTATGCAAGTTGCTCACGACCATCGGGGAACAGGTATTTGTTATTGGTTTTCACGGAGAAAAAAAAATACATTCCAGTCTTCATTGTCCGGCCGCTTGCTATTAATTCAATACACTCAAGTGAGTTAAATTGTCGTTGCCGAAATGCTGACTTATCACCTGCTCAACGGTGAAGGAAAACATTGTGTGGAAACCTGCACGTTTTCAAGATAATAACAAAAAGAAATATTTCGAAGATATATGAAGTTCGCCAATCCGCATTGGGGCCTTTGTACAGAGGAGGCCTTTGCCCAGCCGTGGGTCATTCTGTTACTTTATTTTACTTTACTTCATTAACTTCGAACTCATCGTCCTTAGCTGACCGTCAATCGATCTTATGTATAGTACGTAAGTAAAGTAAAACTGACAGACTGAGTGATCTTTTATCTCATACCAACAACTACTACGGTTCGGTTTTTGAAACACCTCCAATACCGTTGGTGTTCGCTGTGGAGGAACTTGTAACTTAAAATTGTTGTTGTTTAATGGACAAAATATTAATAAGTAGTATAACTGTGATAGCTCAGTATCCGGGCGCTCGTCTTTAATTTAAAATACTCAAGAAACCAGAGTTTGATCCCCGGTGCCGGCACCAATGAAATTGTCAATTTTAAGTGCTGAATTATCACGTGCTCAGCGGTGGAGGAAAACATCGTGAGGAAACCTGCATATTTTCGAAATAATAACAGAAAAAATATTTCAAAGATATGTGAAGTCCGCCAATCCGCAGTGAGGCCGCGTGGTGGACTATGCTCTGATACCCTCTGTACAGAGGAGGCCTTTGCCCAGCAGTGGGACATGTATAGGCTGATACTTTTAACTGTGGTAGGGCCACGCAACAGCTTCGGCTGTTGCACGAATGAGCAGGTCTGTCCGGGTAAGTAGCACCACCTCACAGAGGACTCGCGTGAAGTGTCACACTTCTGCGTTGCGTCTGGTGAGTGAGGTAGCCAGGGCCGACTTTATTACAGGCGGCGACGCATCTATAACCGTATTGGATGTTGCAAATGTCCAGGCGTGGTGGTTATCGCTTAAGAGTTGAACCGCTAGCTCGCTTTGAACTCTTGCACATAAAAAATGAGATGGTTTGTCTTATCACAGTTGGAGAGCGAGGTCCGCGAGCAGCTGGAGTTGGTGTTCAAGCAGATGCAGGAGATCGTGGAGAAGAAGTCTAACAAGATTAGCAGTCGTGTGCGCTTTATGATAAAGGACGTGATCGAGCTACGGCAGAGGGGCTGGCTGGTCAAGAGCGTGGTTGACTCGCAGCCAAAGATGATGGATCAGATCCAGAAGGAGGCCGAGCAGCAGCAACGCCATATTGAGGTGACATTGTCATACCTTTAATCATCACCAGTTGATAGATCATCTTCTCTGTGTCTCTCTCTCTGTCCTCCTTCCTCTTCCCCATATATCTGTTTAGTAAGAATTATGAAATACATATCAATCTTAATTTCGATCAATACTTGGGACTAAATTCCGATTTAAGTTAATTCGTTTAGATTCAGAGTCAGTTCCCACATTGTATTGTAAAGACCCATGGATCAAGCGATTATAACCGCAATGTAAATTAGAGCAGTCTTTTATTGGATATATAAGTGTTTCACAGCTTTATTAACAATTGCTTTATAGCACCTCACCGCAGATCATCTCATCCTCTCTTTGCGGGGGCGAAAAATCGATCTAGCTAGTTTTCAGGGAAAGAAAAATATCATTCGAATATGACGGTAAATTTCGCCGCAAAGAAAATGTTATAATTACTCGGTCGGTAATCGGGCGGCCCCAAAACAGACGGCCGCGGTTCGTATCACGATCAACGCGAGAAACACTGTATCTTGATCCCAACGCAGTCGAAACAGTCATTTAAGTTTGTTTCCAATGCACCTAACGAATGTTTCATCACAGTTGATGAACGCATCGCCCATGGGCGGCTACGGGCGCCGCGACGATGGCGGACGGGGCAAGCGCGGTGGTGATGGACGCCGCCAAGGGAACAACTTCATGGACAACAATTGGAAGACGTCGCGACCCAACTACACAGTGGACATGCTCAAGCTCAAGGCCGGCACCCAGAAGGTGAGGTTTATAGCAAACATTTAACACAGTCTCCAACCGCGCCCTATCAGAACATATGCGACACGGATGTAATAATATACTGTATAATTCGTAAAGTTTCTATATAACATATGTGCAAAACATCATTTGAAAAAGAAAAAGGGTACAGGCTGACCTATTATGTAACTAGTAATGGCAGAATACTAATACAACTCGCACCTTTAGAATTATAGTGACCTATTTTCAAATATAAATTTTTGGGAAACATAAAAGAAGGATTTGTGGAACTTATAAACAAACGCGCTAATTGGGGGGAGGTGAAAGAGACAGAAAAATACATTATGTAGCTTTCTAAAATCGGCCCATGTTTTAATAGGATTCGAAAAAGGTGGTCATTTCAGGTCGTTTCCTGAAATAAAGCCAAAGTCATGATTTTCATAATTAGGTCCCTTTAATTCTAAAGGTGCGAACTCCAAATTATAATTACTGGGCGTTCACTCTCAATACAACCAATTTGGTTGATAGACAGGGAAGACATCTTGTTTGGCAAATTATATAAACATATATACACACTAACATTTGACTAAGAGGCATCTTGACAGATTAGAAGTTGGTAAGTTAAGCATCTCAGTGAAGGAGACAGTACATTTATTTTACATGTCTGACAGTCGTATGTCTGACCCAAAAATATATGGTACAGATCTAGCTATCAGTGTGCTTAAAAGCCTACTATAAACAATCGGAATAAATTGTCCCATATAGGTTAAAATGTGAATAAAAGTAGACAAATAAAAATTCCTTAAGTATTGTACCCTTGCACATTGTTATCGCCAATCATCAACATTCAGGTTACGAGCTTAAATTAGCATCTTGTTGTCAATGCAAAGTAAAACTAAAATTTATCTGATAAATTCATGGTTACCTTAGTTATTAATAGGATTGGCAAAGTTGTAATTACCTAATTCTAGTTGCCTTTTCATATTCATAGTTTATTTTCATGCTATCGATTGTTACCTTAGTTGCATTTAATATGGATTTTATCTCTTCTTATCTTTCCTCTACTGTAGCAAACAAATGTACTGTGATCAGCTACTGTATATTTTATTCTTGTTTTAATTATTTATTAAAAACAGGAAAAATAAAGTATGCCCAAAGTAATTTCACGGTTTATTTTTGATAGTGTAAGTTTTACTCACACATGTTTACACTCCATTGCTTATTTATTGCCAATGTAGGACTAAGAATAATGCATTAAACATTTTGATGCCATGGGTTTTTGAAATAATTTATATGATCGGCAATATTTTAAAACATTTGTTTTATTTTTTTTTTCAAGAATCTAAGCAACATTAAGCTGGCGCCCCAGCACTCTGTTTGGAACCATGGATCGGGCACCAAGAACCCGCCTCAGGCTACCAGCAATTCTATGATCAGTCTGACCAAGAACCAATACAGTATGCTCGAGAATTCATCAACAGATCCTACTTCTCTAAGAGGTTTGTACCGAAAGTACAATTAATGTACAAAGCCTATCTATTAACAGGTTTAAGAAATTTACTAAAGAAAAACTTTTTAAAAAGGGTTATTATAATTTATATGAATACATTAACGATAATAACCCCTGGGAATGAGATGATCGCTACTAAGCTGTTTCTAAACAAAAAAAATTTGTACTGTATAACAATGTATTTGTCTGAAAAAAAAAATGATAGAAAAGAGGATACCTACGGAGTTTATTTCGCCTGTTTCTTCTCCGTTAGAGGAACCTCATTATAAAACAGTGGCAGTAGTAAAAAATGACTATCGATTGATAAATGAAATATATATTTTTTATTTTGAATAAATGATTTTATTTGATATAGGTCATGCATGTGCAGATATTTTTATGATGCTAATTTGTAAATTTTCTGACACCATTTGTAGGAAATCAAGATTTATCATCGGGCTATTCTAAGGGTGCTTCTATAGAGAGGTCAACATTCAATTCCAGAGGTGACTTCAGTAAGTGTCTTAACAGTGTTTTTACAATTCGCCTTGTGGTAATTTTCGAGATCGCGCGGGATATACGTTTATGATTTTGTATTTAGTATATCTTTTATGTTAAGGCACAAGTGAAAATGATGAATGTAAAAAATGGCGTGTAAGCGTTGGAAAATCGTGAATGTTTAAGGACATGATTTCTACTAAATATTTAAAATGTAGCACCGGATCAAACATTAAATTATGTGTTGGATTAAATCTTAAATACTAAATCGACATATTAAAATTTTTTTTATTATAAAAATGCTGTTGATGTTGAATGAATGAGCAGTCTCGTCCAGAGAAGCGTCCCAACCTTACAGAAGACCGGCGTCAAGTGGAAGTACGGTACTTTCGCTTTTCGTCTGAGGAATCAGTTGGCCGGGCATCACTTTTGAAAGTTGGCAATATATCTCTAATGACCAGCTGTAGATGTAGAATTAACTTTAAAAAAAAAACGTGTGTGTGTGTGTGTGTGTGTGTGTATTTAAATACACACTTAAGAAGTTATTCTTCTGTAGTGTAGAAAAGAAAAGAGAAACAACTAATTTTTTTTTTCCGTGTGCCATTACTCTGAAAAAAAGATATTAAATGCAATTGATAATGGTTTAATGAAATAAATTTGATTGTAGTTTTATAGGTAAATATCAAAAAGACTTGTTTTCCGTGGTAACAAGAAGTTTGCGTGATCCATAGGTGTCGCGCATCGTAAAAACTCACAATCTCAATTTTTCCCCAAATGTATCAAAGTAGTATCGTCATCATAATTTAGGCCTGTTTAAACCCACTGCTGAATACAGATTGCCGAGTGACACGCATCTATTGATGCGGATGGGAAAGGGGTTACAACTTTAAAAAATAATTGTGCGTGGAGTCCCTCCGCGCGGAAGAAGTGAAACTTCGTAATGTGGAAATGAAAATAGGAAGAAATTGATTTTTAGTGAAATCATATTGTTTCTTTAAAACAAACTTTAATAATAATAAATAAATAAATAAATTAATACTTTAATTTTAATAATTGACCTGCAACAGGTAAGCTACGCGCGTGCGTTCGAGTGCCACGCATTCACTCTCGCTCTGTCTCTTTCCATTCCCCGTACCCAGGAGCGTTGAAATTTTAACGCAACAGCGCTTTCAAACGCCCCATGGTAGGGTTGAACGTTAACGCCTCCTCGGTGGGGGTCGCATCGGAGCTTCCGCTCCAAAAAGGTTTCCGTTGTGTGACGTGCGCGTGCGCATTGGCAGACTCCGGCAGCGGCGGCCGCTCGGGCAGCAGCAGCGGCGGCGCGGTGCCCCGCTCGACGTCGAGCGGGCGCGGCGCCCCCTCGCCGCCTGCGCCGCTCGCCGCGCCCGCGCCCCCCCCGCCCCGCCGCCGGCCGCCCCCGCCGAGCCGCTGCCCGAGCCGAAGAAGAAGTCCGTCAAGTCGATGATCGACCTGAGCCTCATAAACCCCGACAACGACGAGGTGGTGGCCGACGTGCGCCAGCTGTTCCCGCCGCAGTACCACGCCGCCGTCATCACGGAGATCATAAACGTCGTGCTGGAGAAGTGAGCAGAACGCTATGAACATTCGCAACCCGGATGCGTTGCCCGAAGTTGAAAAACAGCCGGTTCCCAGTTCACCTCGCTCGCCGGACGAAATGCAAAAGTGTAGTGCTTTCACGCGAATATTCTATGTTAGGTTATATTGCCTCGTCGTGCACAAGCTTTTGCGAGGCCCTACCGCATGTCTCTGATTTTCGGCAGAGCTCTAAGGGCTTTTTGAGTGCATATGAGATTGCAGTAACACATGGAAATTAAAAGTATCTGTATCTACTTTACATAGATACTTTTTATTATAATAAAAATCTATTAAACTTAAAAACGGCTATTTTTCCCAAAAGCAAGGCAACATGCAACCTCTCAAGGTATTAATGATCAAACCGGTTAGATGACTTGGTGGCCCAGTTGTGCACTATGAGCATCTACAACACCTAACAGTTTGCCTCACTCACCAGAGGAAATGCAAAAATACAGTACTTCTACTTCATGTTAATCTTCTGTTCACTTATAATTTTTTTTATTTAGATACAACAACAGTAATATACATTTGTATACTGCCTCTCTATCGCCGTAGAGATATAATATATAGAGACCGCCAATATATAGAGACAGCATCAACCTTATTCATCATCATCATCAAGGTTCAAGCCTGTTTGAGTCCACTGCTGAACATAGGCCTCCCCCATAGCCTGCCATGAAGTACGGTCCTGAGCCACCTGCATCCATCAACTTCCCGCACATTTGCACAGGTCGTCACTCCATCTAGTCGGAGGTCGTCCTACAGGCAATGGCCAGTACAAGGCTGCCACTCGAGAACCTTTCATCCCAAACGGTTATCAGTTCTACAAGCTATATGGCCGGAACATCGACACTTCAGCTTGCTAATCCTCTAAGCTATGTCGGATACCTTGGTTTTACTGCGGATGACTTCGTTACAAACTCTATCATGCAGATAAATACCTTACTATCATTACATAATTATTTTAAAAACAGGATGGGGCATCCTACCGCATATTTTTGAATGCAATAAACTTAAAAACTGTTGGCTTATATGTTCCCTTACCTTTCAATAACAATGTGATTATTTAATTTTTTATCTAACAGATCAGCGAAAGAAATCGCAATTGTGGCAAAGACAGTGCTTCATTTGGTGTCGACCAACACCATATCGGCAGAGAACTTCCTCGCGGGCATGGCTGAGATATTCGAGTTTGCCCCCGAGCTGTTCATCGACATACCCATGCTGTACGACTACTTAAGCAAATTTATTACGCCCCAAATCGAGAAGAAGGTGAGTCTTAACTACACAACACATAGTACGGATTAAAATCCGTGCCGCTTTTGATAGCATTTGTTTGAAGCACAGTTGGCAAGCTACCATGATTTTGTTAATATAAATCGCGACACGAAGCAGTAGAATGCCGTTTGTGTTAAAATATTTGGCAATTTTTTAATGACATATATTCTGGATATTTCCAATTAAAACCACACAGAAGCGTCAGTAATCAATTGAATACTTTTATGTAGTCATAATTTTAATATGTGGACTCTATTTAAAACACTGAGTAACGGGGGACTATAATTCTTAATTTTAAAATCTATTACATTTCAATTTTACCCTTCTAGTAAATAGTAACACTTGTTGTCTTTTTCAGCATATCACATTCATCCAGACATTTAGACTCTGTGAGAAATCGGTTATACCAGAGAATCACGGCCATTTGTTCTTAAAAGCGGTGATCAATGATCTGAAGGAGAGTATGGGACCCTCATTTGTTAAGAGCAAATGGCAGGAGTCTGGTCTGAGGTTACAGCAATGGATGAATGAAGAACAGGTGATCTAACTGATATTATGTTGATAATTATCAAAACTAAACTATAAGCTCTTCAAAATTCATTTGTATACATAAATACACCAGTTTTTATTTATGCTTGATTAGCAAAATATGCAAAATATATATAAAATATAATATAAAAAATACTTTACTTTTTAATAATTTATTAGTAATATGAATAATTTCATGATTTTACCAGTTTTGATGTATTATGGACCTGATATTAAAAAATTTTAATTTGTATTTAATTTGTAGCTTTCGGTTCATTACATTGTTATTAATAATGGCATCCATTGTCAGGTAACAAAGTGGGTAGAAGACAATAAATTTGAATTTTTGGATGGTGCCAAGACTAGCGAAGAGACTAAGAAGATTTTGACACCGGCAGAGGTTCAAAGCAAACTTTTGGAATTAATGAACTCTGATGAGACATGCGAATGTGTCCGGGGCTGGGTTCAGGTAAATTTTTATGTTGATTTTTAAAATATCATGTCATGCATTTCATCGTTATACCATGTTGGTGACTGCATTTTTCATGTTTTTTATACCATTACATAGCAATGAAAATTGTGTATCAAATTGTATTTATAGTAGTATACTTCAAACATTCTGTAGTGATCAATTTCAATTTCCAATGTTTTATCTTTTAAATGAACAATAAAACTATATTAGTCTTTAACAGACTGTCTACTCCACAGTTCAAATTATAAATAAATTTAAAATTATTAATATTATAAATTAATGTGTAAACCATAGACTGTCATTACACTTGTAACACTAGTGTTGGAAGTCGACCGTTGGATTTTAAATATATTGACTTATAAGTGCTTAACAATTCACATTCAAATTTATACATTCACACTGACTTCCAATCGTAACGGACTCACATTCGAATGCAAACTAATTATTTTTAGTTGAAATTATATTAATTTAACACCCTCAGAAGCGTTATTTCTTCTCCCTTGTTCTATCCTGAACACAGACTAACATTATTATTTTTGTAAATTTATCAACGCAAAACGTATCTTTTACATTCTGGATGTTCTCCGCATAATTATTATGACTCTATAGTATATAATAGAGCGTTACCACGTCTTGAGGGTTGATCGTTACCTTTGCTGGAGGGCAGTCGAACACCGTTCCAATGGCGGGCCGTTTCCGTTGCAGGACAACGTGGGCGCTTCGTGCGAGGAGGAGTGGTTCACGAGGGCGCTGATGCAGGCGGTGTGCACCCACGCGCTGGTGGGCGGCGAGGGCGCGTGGCACCTGTCGCGCGAGCGGATGGACAAGTATGCGCGGCTGCTGCACGAGCTGGCCGCCGCCCAGTGCACCAAGCGCGAGCTGAGCTGCCTCTTCGCCGTGCAGCATCTGGTGCACCGTCTGGAGCACCCGCAAGGTGAGCCCTCGGCTCCATGTAACCGCCACGGTCACGCCCCCAGCGGTTGGGAAGTTTCCTAGCTCTAAATTCACAATGCGAATTGGTCAGGTGGTGTTAGTTCGAATCGTTGCTCGCTAAATGTGAGAGACATTTGGCAAGTTTTGTGTTTGTGTTTAGTGGATTTTATTTGGTTCTTTAAGGTATTGCTTTAGGGAGTATTTTTTCTTAACGCCGGTTAATGCCAGGTGTTATTTGAATGTGTCGCGACACTGCATTGACACGACCGAAGGGCTCGCCACCGCATCGGAACTAGATTCACCGTATCCGGTGACGCCAGCGCATGGAGATCTTTGTCACTTCTCAAAATTGCCACATTTTACCACGCGACACCGCATTATGTCTTTGTTTTTATGGGAGAAAGCCGTTAAAGGAGTACGCAGATACAAACGTAGACACTTTCGACGGTCGATAGCTGCAATCGCCAAACGGATCGCAGGTGCGTTGCCAACCCTAAAAAGTTGCGCCTCCGCTAATTTCACTCTTCGAACGTGAGCCCGGAGAGAGGTTTTTCTCACCGTTCCGTGCCATCTAAAACGGTAGTTCTATGGTCGTGTCCAATTCATCAAACAAAAAATCGGTTCAAAAAATCCCGACTCTACTAGATCGTGTGGCGTCGCTGTAGCATTTTAGAGAGCGTTGCTGCGTTCATGACATTGCGTTCACAGATCTCCGTGACACTGCGTATTGTAGTTGACTAGAAGACCACATTGTGTGTACTACAACTGCGTCGCAACACCACAATTGTATGAATACTGCACACGCCTTTACTGAGACCGCAGAGTACTGTGCAATTGCGAATGAATAACTAATAAATAAATCACTTTTCAGCGCTTTTATGTCGCTTTTATTTTATTTACTATTAAGTTGTTTACTTCTTTGTTTGCTTGGAAAACTGAACACTGAAGGATCAAGGAAGAACTGTAATTCGCTCGGAGGGGTTAAAATAACAAGGAGATAGTTTTTTCAGCTGATAAGATTATAAGATTATATATATACTTAGATAAGTATACACTTCAAATTTTATTATAGGACAAACTCACAATACACCACAAAAAAGGAAGGATTTTCAGTGCTAAAGCGAGTATTCATGCATTCAAAACTGTGTTATGTACTATGTGCTTGGAATCTCATTTGTAAAGTGAGATATTAAAGTTTCTCATAGTAGGTCGTCGGGGTTTATAATGGTTGCATAATTGCATAACATTGTTAAAATAAAAGACATTTGAAAGTGATATTATGATGCCCTTACTAATTATCTTGCCCTTGTTTCAGGCTTAACTTTGGCCATATTCCAGTACTTGCATGAGCAGTACATTATCTCCGTGGAAGGATTTATTGCGTGGGAGACAACAGATAAGGAGCCCGAGGGCAAAGGTAACCTTCTCATCTTATTCTCGGTTTATAATAGAATTATGCGAGCCCTTCATTTATTCAGTTGTAGTCCTATTTGTGCTGAGTAGACTTGTATACTTTATTATTCCGATTCAAATATTTATTCCACGCTTAAAAATTGAATATGCTTTTTGATACATTGCAAAACTTCAAAAATTCTTCCATACGCCTGATGGTAACCAATAACAGTTGCCAATTAACGTTGCCCTGTGAGCTGATCGGACCCTAACGTGGTGCGTTGCAGCCGTGATGCTGAAGGCGCTCACGTCGTTCTTCACGAACATCCGGGAGGCGGACAACGAGGACTCTTGTAGCGAGGAATGACGCGGGGCGAACCGGCAGGCCGTCGAGCCTGCGCCGGATATCGAACCCCCGCCCGCACCCGGATACGATATATACATTTTACTTTTTTTCTAGCAATCTACCTAAATCCCCCCCGTTCCCCGTTACCCCTCCGCTCCTCCACCATGATCCGACAAGCTGCACCCCAACTCAGCCCGAGCTCGAGCCCCCTCCCCCTGCCCCGGTCCCTTGTGCTCCACCTCACCCGTCTCCCTCACTCTCCCACCCAGTTGCGGAGCTAGTAGTTGTACGTTATTATTATAGTTATAATTAATGCGGTTATTGTTACACGGACTGCGGACCCCGGCGGCCGGTGGTGGGGGGAACCGCCCCTTTCCCCCTCCCCCCTAGCACGAATGCGGCCCGCGCCCCCCCGCCGGTGTCCGGGATACGAGGCCGCGATGATGCAAGCGCCAGGACGCTCTGACTGACCCGTGGGGGTCGTTGCCCTTCACCCCCCCCCCCCCCCAATTTTCCCGCCTCTCCCTCCAGTATCACCAAAACACGTTCCGTTCGCATCGAAGGCGGGACCGCGACGCAACATGTCGCACCCCCCCGTACCCCCACGCCCCCGTCGGTATAGAATAATGCGGCTTGGTATATAGAATAGTAGGGCGCTATCCGTCGCCGCGGTTTTCGTCCGGAAAACCGTCGCAACGGACGCACGGAGCCCAAATTGTGTTTAAATATATGGTCTTTATATTTTTAATTGTATTTATTACGATATATGATATAAATGAGGGCATCGGCTTCGCTAAAGTATAGAAAAAGCATTGATAAATTTATATTTCGAAACGAAATGGGCTGTTGTCACGCACGTTGCCGCGCGCACTCTCGTATACGTGTTTTAATTTTTAATTCGTGTTTAGTTTACAAAATGAGAAAAAGATAAAAAATAAATATATACATGCATATATATATCTACCCACGCGTATATATATATATATATATTTATATTATTGTTTAGTTTTAATAATTCGTTAGGAGCTCAGTAAGCCGTGAACGCACTGTCTCAACCCCTGTGGCGAACGGAGCGCGGCGGGCGCTCCCACTGAGCCACTGCCCCTAAATTGTTTCCGCTGCTGAGTTTATTTTTATTACTATAGCTACTCTTGTCAGTTACTATGTATGTTATGTAAATAAACTTTTTATGAAGAAAAATTCTATGTTGTCGTTTTCGTCCTCCACATCCCGCACTACCCACCCGCTGACGGCAGACCAACCCCCGGAGTACCATCATCCTACAACCCCCAAAGACCCGCCCCAAAGCGGTAGGACTCTGTAAACCGCATACTTAAGTCTATGGAATTTTTTTTATCTCACACTTGTACTATAATTAGCGATATATTATAGGCCAATTGATGATCTACTTAAACCATGTTACAGAAAATTTGTAATTTAGTAATTATATAACGAGAACTTGTATTTTTTAAGTAAAGATTTAATTTTCTAAGTCAATGGATATTGTTATTGAAACCCAAAATTAGATTTCTAAGCATTTGGCCGTCTGGATGTTCGTAAGTATATATAAATGGTGATTTTTAAAAGTGACAATCAACACTGGTGGTACTGGTTTCAACCCCGCATATCGTCTCCAACTAAGAGAGAATACTATTTAAAAAACACTTCGAATGCTCTTGTAGAACGGAACTATTAAAAAAAAATTGAAAATATAGTAATCTAAATGATTTTTTTTTGTGAGAAGGAGGCAAGCGGGCTGGCGCTAAGTAATAACCGCCGCCCATGGACATTGCAACACAAACCAATAGGGCTGCACTTGTTTTAATAAATTGGGTTCCGGTTTCCTCGCTAGACGAAACGCAGAAGTATAACTTCTACTTCCCTGGCCATTGGTGCAACAGCGAAGAGCGTTGCGTGGCCCTACATACCACAGTGAATCTCATGCTAACGTAAATATAGTGGTTCTCAACTTGAGACACCCTAAATTGTTCAATGCACAGCGTAAAGCTGAAAAATCTTGCCATTGAAACAATTTTCAGCCTCGACGAAACTAATTTCTATGAAAACCTTTGACTTTTAAAGTGTGTTTAAATTGATATGGTAAGTCGTTCGTCCCGGGAAAAAAAAAGATAACTTATATCATCAATCACAATTAAGTCATACAAGAGTTTTGACCATGTTTGCGCAGTTATTGCATGAAATCAATAGCACAATTCAAATCTTTCTGGCAATATTAATTTTAAAATTAGCATCATGCATCTACCTTTAACAGGCCATTATTCTGTATCTGGAAATTTCATGTCCATTTTACGTTTACTTTATTAAGGTCCTGTTTAAAAAATCTTGCCATTGAAACAATTTTCAGCCTCGACGAAACCAATTTCTATGAAAACCTTTGACTTTTAAAGTGTGTTTAAATTGATATGGTAAGTTAAAAATTGAACAATATATGGTCGGAAGTTTCAGTTGAAATCCCCACGATTAGGGTTATTCCGATTTCCGGTATATGTTTATGGTCGGAAGTTTCAGTTGAAATCCCCACGATTAGGGTTTGGCATCGAATCGTACCCGACTGAACCAAATGAATGTATCATTACGATTTCTGAACGTAACATAGTTTAGTGATTAGTTGTCTTTTACCAGCGGGCTGACATTCAATGGTTTAAGCTAGATAACTCGTTTGAGCATTCAGTTCTAGGTGTGAGTTATACTAGGTAAAATCGAATACCTGTTCCTGTGACTAAATATTAACAGTGACAAATACCTGTTACAAAATAACAGCCTGTTATTTTATACTACGTTGTGACAGTTACCACTGTCACAAAATGTTACCATAAAGACAGGATGTAAAAGTTTTTATCTCTTTCTAACTAAGTTAACAGTCGTACACAGCGTACTAAGGAACAATTCTTCAGTAACAACTGTGACTGGGTGTAACAGTTGTATCTCTTTCCGACTAAGGTAACAGTCGTAAGCACGAATACAGAAAAACTTGTGACAGCGCGTTAAGGAATTTGTGCGGAACGGGAACTGTTATTTAACTTTGTTCGTAACAGGTTTTTTTTTTCTTTATGGAGAAAAGGGGCAAACGAGCAGGAGGCTCACCTGATGGTAAGTGATTACCGCCGCCCATGAACACCTGCAACACCCGAGGGCTCACAAATGCGTTCCCGGCCTTTTAAGAAAGAGTACGCTCTCTTTTTGAAGGTTCCCAGGTCGTAACGGTTCGGAAAGTTACGACAGTCTGTTATCCTGTTACGATAAAACGCCTCACTCCTATGCAGTTCTACTGAAGCAACATCAACGCAAAGAGTTCAGCAATGCCACAACAAATAATACCGTATATTTATCAAATTATTAAAAATTTGAAAACTGATATATTGAAACGTTGAGGACTTTCCGCATACATGTCAACTTAATCGCTGATACCATTCAAAGTAGTCTTGGAATGGGAGTTTCAGTTCTTAACATTTAATCAACATCTAAAAATGGAAAAAGGGATGAATTTGCGGATCTTGGTGGGAACTCTACAGTTGGTGGATGCCTTGGGGGTTCATTCTGTCTATCTATTTCAAAGAAAATGTTATACTGGAAATTTGTTATACTATGATAAAAAACGTGGTCTTACTTGCCAATGTGTTTCATCATTTTAAATGATTGCCGCGTTTCACCGACGGGCTGTGATGGGTTGCTGAAATTAAAAAATTTGCCCGGCGTTACTTCACCAATCTAAACGCGGAGGCAAAATACTTCCAATTGACGGAGGTCTTCTGTGAAGGCAACAGCACATTGCCTGACGGTGGAAGATTATGCATTGCTGTAGCAATGCATCTAGCACCGATCTGTCAACTAAATCAATGCGCTTGTCGTGTCAATGTATATAGAAATATGGTTTCGCCGGGCTTCTTTTTGGCGGCGTATCACCTCAGGGGTAGTGCGGTCAGAGCTGGAGTGACGTCAGATGTAGCGATGTAAGTAAATGGCGGAACCAGTGGCGGAAAGACAAAGCCCCAAACGACTTCATGTTCTCTTGAACAGACTTCGGTTAGAGTTTGGAGGTTTGGAGGATAATATTTGTATGAATATTATTTCTTACAGATAAAATACGTATAAATAAAATCATAATTATTTCAGATAATATACAGCGGGAACTGGTAATTCACATTTTATAAATCAAATTACGTTTTGTTAGCCGTATCAATAATACGGGGCCCCCGAGCCCGAGGCCCTGTAGGCCTTGGGCTCGGGCCGCTCGGGCGCCCCGGAAAAATTCCATAATCACTTAAATTCTTAAGTCGTTCGTCCCGGAAAAAAAAAGATAACATATCATCAATCACAATTAAGTCATACAAGAGTTTTGACCATGTTTGCGCAGTAATTGCATGAAATCAATAGCACAATTCAAATCTTTCTGGCGATATTAATTTTAAAATTACTTTAGCATCATGCATCTACCTTTAACAGGCCATTATTCTGTATCTGGAAATTTCATGTCCATTTTACGTTTACTTTATTAAGGTCCTGTTTAAAAATAACTTCTTTTAAAGTGAAATAAATTATTTTAGCCCCTCGATTGAAAATGAAATTTTTAATTTCATTTGTTAGCGCAGTTAGAGAAGAATATTGTTCGATTTATTAAAATAGCTCAAATTCTGGTGATTATTTCGGATACAGTAGCGACCTATCGAAAATGTATCATATTAGAAATATCATAATGGATAATTTGGATGGATAATGGAAAAATACTTTTTTAGCAAACATATTGTAACGCTGGTCAATATTGATTAACGATTCACCTGAAAAATATAAAATTAGGTAATCATAAAAATGTTTTTCCTGCTAGGTGTTCGAGAAACGACGCCTTAAGGAAAAAGATATTCAATTAATGAATTAATGAAAATTTTGTAGCAACTAAATTTATTTTCACATAACAGACGAACGTGATCATGAAGTTCGTCAATTAAAGTTTCGGCAATTAAAAAAATTAGTTAAAAATATAATTAGCACGCAGAGAATTTTTTCTAATGCTTGTCGCCTTTTTTTCTTCACTATTAGTAATCATCAATACTACAGCTCTACAGAATGACGTTAATATTTTACCAAGTGTTCTTTTCAATAATAAAAAATGTGTAGAAAAACACTACTGTCTTATAAAACAGATACCACGTGTCAGTTGATCTTTATGAACAATTAAAACATGTTTAAACTCTGAAAATGTCATTCGATTATAGAACTCATGAAATCATTTTGGATAAAATTCAATAGCCTTGAATTGTTTTCCTGAGGTGATAGCAGCATGCTTTTTGCTATATTTTTAGATGAAAATTAGTTTTTCGTAATTAAAACTGATAAAAAATTATCTTAAGACTTCTATGGGACAGGAACAGATAAGTCACTATTGCATTTAGCGCCGTTCATATTATTGTATTTTAATTCCAAGCGAGATTTTTGTTTCTTTGGTGAAAAATCTTTACTCTTCATTTGGGCCGATACATTCTGATTTGAGGGCCCGTTTTAGGCAATCTACGCCACCGTTGCTAATCTTTATAATGTCTATA